TGTGTGTGTATGTGTTTGTGTATGTGTGTGTGTATGTGTATGTGTGTGTGTATGCGTTTGTGTATGTATGCGTGTGTGTGTGTGTATGTGTGTCTGTATGCGTGTGTGTGTATGTATGCCTGTGTGTGCGTACGTGCCTGTGTGTGTGTGTGTGCGTGTTTCTTGTGTAAGCTGAAAGACGCGAAAAATTATTGAAATATCTATTGCTCCAAGGGTTCAGGGGATCTCGTAGTCGAGCAGTCTCGACTAGAGCTTTCTTACTTGTTAAAGTTAGAGTTGCCAAATTTTAAATGCAGATTTATTTGTACTTTATAGAAATTCGATTTTTGTCAAAATTTACCCCCACCCACATATTCACATCCTCATCCTAAGTTTGTAAAAAACGTATTTCGTATATTAGAGACTTGTGCTTTGGCACATACATATCTATGTGTGTTTATGCGTGCGTGCATATGTCCGTGTGTGTTCGTGTGTGTGTGAATGTGCGAATGATTATTGGAAATGTCAGTTGCTTGAAGGGTTCAGGGGATCTCGTAGTCGGGCAGTCTCGACTTTAGCTTTCTTACTTGTTTATATATATAATTAAAAAATGTTATTATTTACAGTCAACCTAGTCAGGAGGCATTATTTCATATTCTAAACTCAATACTCTCCCAGCATTTGGATAACCCACAACATAAATTTGATAAAAACATTATTAAGGAATGTACAGCTCTGGTCAATACAGCTATTGCCCTACATTTAAAGGTGGTTGGGTCTTTTCTTCCTACAGCATTGAAGTTTCATTACAATTTTAATTTACGTGATCTTGCGAATATATTTACGGTATGTATAATATAGTTTTAAATGTTGCATCGAAAATAAATTTGAAATATGTAGGGAGTGCTCTATGCCAATAATGAAACATGTCCGAATTTCAATCAATTAATTCGACTATGGACTCATGAATGTTTTCGTGTATATGGCGATAAACTTGTGGACCAAACTGACATAGGAAACTTTAAAAAAATTATTGCTGACGTAGTGCGAAAAGGAATAGAAGGTATTAGTGAAGATATTATATATGCACAGCCCCACATATATTGCCATTTTGCAAAAGGTCTTTCGGATATTAAATATATGCCTATATTAAATTGGGATCGTTTGAAAGCGTTATTAGAAGAAGCTCAGCTGCGTTACAATGATTATGTAGGTGCGATGAATTTGGTGCTTTTTGATGATGCCATGTCTCATGTCTGCCGGATTAGTCGAATCTTAGAATCCTCAAGGGGATATGCTCTTTTAATCGGTGTTGGCGGATCAGGAAAACAATCACTTACTCGTTTAGCGGCATTTATTTCCTCACTAGACGTATTTCAAATTCAACTGACAAAAGATTATAGCGTTAATGATTTGAAAACAAATATTGCTGGACTATATTCAAAGGCTGGGGTCAAAAGCACTGCATGCTGCTTTTTAATGACTGATTCAGAGGTTGCACGTGAACAGTTTTTAGTGCTTGTTAACGATCTTCTGGCATCTGGGGATATACATGAGCTTTTTCCCGACGACGAAATGGAAAACGTTATAGGAGCTGTGCGGAACGAAGTTAAACAGCTTGGAATTATTGACAGTCGCGAGAATTGCTGGAAGTATTTTATTGAAAAGGTACGCAGTCTACTCAAAGTTGTACTATGCTTTTCACCAGTTGGTGCCACACTTCGGGTACGATCAAGAAAATTCCCAGCCCTTGTTAACTGTACAACAATAGATTGGTTTCACGAGTGGCCACAGCAAGCACTTGAGTCGGTGTCAATGCGATTTCTTTCAGAGATTACAGTACTGCCAATAGAATTAGCGCCGCCTGTTTCGAAGTTCATGGCTTACGTCCATAAGACAGTCAATGATATTTCTGAGCTCTATCTGGCCAGTGCAAAACGATATAACTACACCACACCAAAATCCTTTCTTGAGCTTATTTCTCTTTATTCTAAGCTATTATATGAAAAAGTGAATGCTAATTTAGATCGACGAACTCGACTAGAAAATGGTTTAATTAAACTTGCTAGTTGCACTAAAGAAGTTGATGCACTACAGGATGTTCTTAAAGTACAAGAAGTAGAATTGAAAGTAAAAAATCAGGAGGCGGATAATCTTATTATTGTTGTCAGCACAGAGAATGAAAAAGTATCGAAGGAACGTGCATACGCCACTAAAGAGGAGAAAAATGTACGTCAGATTGAGGAAGATGTGGGAGCTAAAGCAAAACTCTGTGAGGAAGACTTTCGTAAGGCTCAGCCGGCTCTTCTTGCTGCGCAGGAAGCCCTTAATACTCTCAATAAAAATAACCTGACAGAGTTAAAATCTTTTGGATCACCACCAGATGCGGTTGTCGGTGTATGTAGTGCTGTCTTAGTACTTTTTTCTGTTAATGGAAAAATTCCCAAGGACCGGAGTTGGAAAGCAGCGCGTATTATGATGGGCAATGTCGATAAATTCCTAGACAATTTAATTAATTACGATAAAAAGCATATCCACCCAGATGTAATAAAGGCATTACAGCCATATATTCAGGACCCTGAATTTAATCCAGAAAAGATTATATCAAAATCCTCCGCAGCTGCAGGTTTGTGTTCCTGGGTAATAAATATAAACCGTTTTTATGATGTATATCTAGTGGTGGAACCTAAAGAACGGGCTCTTGTCGAAGCTGAGAAGGAACTAAACGATGCTAGGGATAAGCTTACAGCATTAAATCAACGACTTAATGAGCTTGAGCAGGAGTTAAATATTCTACAAATTTCATTTGATGAAGCAATGGCAAAAAAACAAAAGTGCCAAGATGAAGCAGACAAAACTGCCTTTACTATTGATATAGCAAACCGATTAATAGGAGGCTTAGCCACGGAGAAAGTTCGGTGGATAGAGTCCGTAAAAAAGTAAGAAATATAACAAACATTTTAAAGGTATATATTCTAATGTTTCTTTTTTTCTCTATTTAGTATTACATTGGGTATTAAACAGCTGCCTGGAGATATACTTCTTATTTCATGTTTCATATCATATGTTGGCTGCTTTACTCGCGTCTATAGAACTGAACTTCAACAAAAGATGTGGATGCCAACCTTTCAAAACATGCAGGTAAAAAATACCGTAAAGTTTTTTTTTACCAAATTTGGCTTGAAGATCTTATGATTATAATCATAAATTTCTTTTAGTACATCAATAAAAAATCATCATTATCATTAGTACATCCATTAAAATCATTCACGAAAGTGAAATGAAGTGAAATGAGTATATTGGTTTTGTGCAATGCAAAGACAAAGCAATTGTAATTGGGATTCTTAGAAAACATAAACACATACAAATGAGCGCATGCATAAGAAAAGCTGAAGTGCTTGATGTTATGCGAACAGACTTATGTATGTAAATATTTATATATGTCGTGTCAGTGCGATATTACACTGATGCAGTAGTGATTAGAAAACTGGCATTTTGTGTTAATCGATTGATAAAGTATCATTATGTGCAATTAAAGTATGTATTGTTACTATAAGAGAGACAATAGCTGTTGCTGAATGTGGTCCCGGGTGTCGCTGGGTGAGAGCGAGACGGCTAGTTTTGTCGCTCGCAGCAGGGTCGCTGCGCTTTCGATGAACAAGAATATGCGACCTTTATTAGAAGTTTCGAGAGTAGAGGAGAAATCACACTTGGTCAAAGACTATTGAATGAGAAAGACAATTAAAACGAGCTTAGCGACACAGAAGTGGGATCGGCACCACCTCCTACGTTCTCGGAGGAGCAGTGGCGTACGATTTTGGACCTACAAAACCGAAATTTAATGGAATTTGTCAAGACTATCAATACGTCAAGTGAGCATCAGAAACGTGACGTCATTCTACGAAAATTTAACACTGACGTGGCAGACGTTGACGCTGAAAATTGATGTCGGATGAAAATTGATGTCGGTAGATGAATCGAAGATAAGTATACYGATCCGAGGTGAGAGCTTTCCAATTATCTTTGATTCTGGTGCATTATTCCGTGGTTAAAGATAGCTTTGCACAAAAGGCTATATGAAACAAGTGAGAGTACGCGGGTCGAGACTGCTCGGCTGGGAGATGCCCTTGGCTCTTTGGGCTGGTTATTCCGCGCATTTTTGTGGCGCATGCATGCGCTCTGCTGGCTGCGTGGTGGGCGGCGGCTGCATGGACTGCGCTGCGATAAGGCCGGAGTTGTGGGAGTTTGGGACTGTTCTTCATATGCTAGCCCAGTTCTGCTTGTCAGAAAGAACAAGTAGGAAAGCTCTAGTCGAGACTGCTCAACTACGAGATCCCCTGAACCCTTGGAGTAATAGCAATATTTTTTCGCGTCTTTCACGCTCACACACACACACGCATACACAGGCCAGGCATATATACACACACACGCATACACACACACCCACATACACAAACACATACACACACAAGCATAAAAACGCATGGGCTGCAGTGTGCGCTTACTATGAGAACTTAATTGTTTAATAATTTTGTGGACATACGATCTTCATGAAACTTTCAGATTATGCTTATAACATGGATATGCATGTATTTGCCAAAGCACAAGTCTCTAGTATTTGAAATACGCTTTTTACAAATGTGATATATAAAAAATTTGGAGACTAGCAATAAAGGTGTAGAAGATATAATTTTTATCGATTTTTAATGATAAACTTGATATCCGCGCTATAATTACGGACATTTAAAAAAAAATTTGAAGTCTCTAGCTCTTATATCTTCTGAAATCAACGCGTTCATACATACGGACAGACAGACGGACAGGGCCAAATCAACTCAGCTCGTCGCCCTGATCAAGAAT